GTCACAACAAAATACATATTCACAAAGGGACTTGAGTATTTTCTTTTACAATTCAGAATATGTAATTATATGAGGTAGTGATTGTTAAACACTGCAATGTGAAAATTAGTATGGAAAGTTTATCATGGCACTAAAATAGTCTTATGAAAACAGATAAATTAATTTCATTTCAATCTGCTTGTCAAATTTTTAAAATGTATCTATGTAATGTACTTGTAAAGAGACTTCGTCATTCTTTTGTAAAGATTGCTGTTTAAAAAAATCAAAACTTTTTGGTGGCAAAAAACATTTTAAAAGTAAACATTAAAAAGTATTAGTTACAGCTAATGTCAGTGACCCTTTTTGTGAAGTTAGCTTTGTATAGTGAAATATAGAATAATCTTTTTTCTTTGTGTAAAACATTTTGGTTATTTACTAGGTTCAGATCTTCAAATAAATGAAAATAATAGTTGTGGGAGACTGTAACAGTGGGTATATTGTATAGTTAGATGTAAACAATGTTTTGTTGATCTGTCTTTACAAAGTTTGGTTATTACTTTAAGGTGGCTCTTATAGACCTTGACCCACAGCAAGAAGCTAGAAGACATCAACATAAGCAAGTTTATGAAGAAGATGATGATCACATGCATCACAGGGGAGGTGGTGTTCAGTGTCAAACACACTAATCTTGTTGATTGTAGTTTAATTAAAATTAAATATACAAAAAATATTCATTTACTACCTGTGGTCATCTGAACTTTGGTTTATTAGAAGTATATTAGCTATTTTGTATGCTTCAGTGTTTTCCATAATCTTATATTTATTTGTAAAGTGTCTAATGAGAAATTCACTATAAATTTCATGTTTTTAATTGTCTTATGTTCGCTTATTCTTACTTGCAAAAGTAAACGTTTGAGGTTTATTATAGTGAAATGATCATTTATCAGAAATATGTAATATACATATAAAGTCATAATTAAAATGAGAATAATCCTGAAAAGTTTTTTTATGAAAACAGTCAATAGTGAATTAAATACTGGTATGTTTATTTAGGTAATCAAACTGCTTTACTTGATTTTGTTAATTAAAAACCATAAACTGTAATCTATATATCTTCTGTAGAAATATGGTTTGAAGTCTGAAGAATTTTCAAGCCCAGTTTTTTTATTTGGATATATAGTAATAAATGATTGGCTAGATAAGAAGCCTACTTTGAACTCATTGAAACCCTATTTATTTTATCAGAGTTCATGAAATGGATGTTCCCATCAGGCAAATCATTTCCAATATTGACACTTAGACATAAGCTGCCACCCAGTGGCACAGCAGTATGTCTGCAGACTTACGATGCTAGAAACCGGGTTTCGATACCTGTGATGAGCAGAGCACAGATAGCCCATTGTGTAGCTTTGTGCATAACTACAAACAAATAATAGTCATAAGCTATCTGGTGTTTTTAGGCTCTTTGAAGTTTTCTGTATTCATAAGAAAACCATTTCATGATTATCTCACATTCTAAGATCTTTATTCTACAACAACTTAAAAAAAACTTTAACAACAATTGTTATGGTGTGAACTGGACTAGTTGAAGTGTAACTTTTCACCAGTCAAGTTGTAGATAAAATGTTGTGTCATAATTTTTTTAGGCTCTTTGAAGTTTTCTGTATTCACAAGAAAACCATTTCATGATTATCTCACATTCTAAGATCTTTATTCTACAACAACTTAAAAAAAACTTTAACAACAATTGTTATGGTGTGAACTGGACTAGTTGAAGTGTAACTTTTCACCAGTCAAGTTGTAGATAAAATGTTGTGTCATAAAAATAAAAATCTTTAAACTTTTTTTTTGGGTGTTGTTGTATTGTAGAATTTACAAAAAAAAAAGGGTAGCTGGATATGAAAAATCTTGCAGAATGTCAATTTTTGTTACCATGAAAGATTGGGTTTTTTAACAATAGAAATGAAAGAGGATTTTCTTTTATTTATTGTATGTATATTCGAAACTGAGAATTAAGTTTATGGTCATGTTAAGAAGGCTCTATTTCAGGGTTTATCAGAAATGTTTTGGGTAGCATCTTGTATTACATAATAATGGATAAAAAATTTATGTTGATACCAATTTGCTACATAGCTACAAAGATGCTCCTAAAAGTTACCTTTTTATTAATGGAGGAACTATCAGAGTTAGTTATTTGAGGTTGGTACAGCTACAACCACGAAAGCCCATAGTTGTGTTATATACTAACTTTTAATGTACATTGAATTGGTTAATTTGTAATTTCTTATAGCTTGTGTAAATGTAATAACCTCTTGCATGGAAGATTCCTAAGTACAGATGACTTTTTATTCAACTGAAGAATGACCAAATAATGAGTGATTTAACAGTGGTTAATTCTTATCGCACAAATGTAGTTTTAATTACTTCTATGTAGAAGGCTGTTATTATTCAGTGAATTACAATACATAATATTTTTAAAGGAGATAATATACTAATGTATTATATTTTATCAAATATATTTTTTCATGATGTCAAAGAAAAAAACCAGTAATATGCTAAAAATAATTATAACTATTATCTAGTGTTTTTATGCCCTTTTTGTGAAAATTATAATATTTCATCTTGAAGGTTTAAAACATAACGTAGAAAAACAAAGGTGCTCCTACAAGATAAATTATGTCCCTTTCTTCTAAAAAAGGTCTGGTAATAGATGTTAGCTAGGCCAATAGAATTGCATCTAAATACTATGCTACAATCATCTGTAGGAAAGTTGAATAGACTTAACTGAAGCAACGGGAGGGGGGGGGGGGGATGAGGTCTTGTATAGTTAATAAAACAACAAAATTAAAATCTAGTTAAGTTTTCCGAAACTAGGCTAACAATTTTTTTTAATTATTAAACTCCACTTGGGCATTATTCACACTGCCAGTGATATTCCATCCAATTACAGCAATTTCAGAACACTTTACCATATAGGATGTTAAATATTGTTGTAAAGAATATAACCATTTATATTATACCAGTACTATTATGTCATGTTAATAAGAAAACGTTGAATTTAACTAAGTGTATTTGAAAATATTTTTTATTCAACGAGTCACTTGGATAATTTAAAATATAACCATGTTATATAAAACAATTTGTAAAGTTTGGTAAAATTATAAGAACAACTGTTACTTTTAAAAGTATTGTTGGAAAAGGATTTCAAAAACATCAAAAAGTAGGGCACTTGACTTTGTACCAATAGTCGCAACGTTGAGAATGGTTTTGCTGGAAAAGAGTGCCATTAGTACAGAGAAAGGATGCAGCTATCTTACTGCTCCATTGGCATAAATGAAAAACTTGACAGCCGGTTTCAGGATCAGCATAAAATCCCCAGCGATGTTTGCAATCAAAATTGGTTTTTGGAACCTCGTTGTAAGTGGGATATGGGGGTGGGTTCGGGTACTCTTCAGATATCTGACTCTGTAGGATTATATGATGCCACAATATCATTGTTTTAAACGTGATAATACAAGAAGTAAACGCCTCTTAAATAATGATAATACTAATTATGAACAGTAACACGAGTATGAAAAAGTATTTTCACCCATGGCATTCGTTACGGTTTGCAATAAAGTTAAAATTGGCTTGCATTAGAAAAAAACAAAAATATATATACACATTACACTTGAACGGTTATTACGAAGCAAAGAAAATTAGTACGTAATTATATTAAATCATAAATGTATGTATAATGAACTGAAAAAAGCATGCTTACCTCTGTTTGAGGAACTAAGGCGATTACACCTGTAAGAATACAATTAATTAGTTCTAAGACAGCCATTGCATATCAACATAAAAACGAACAGGGGCTGACTGGACTCTACTGTGAAAAAGCTAGAAGGGGCCCATAAGTTTATCATAACAATAACAAAACTATGTACTTTTCCAAGGGGGCCCACTGGGATTTTTCCCTGTGTCTTCGTTAGGCGAGCCCCCCAGTGGCACAGCGGCATGTCTGCGGATTTACAACGCTAGAATCCGGGTTTCGATACCCGCGGTTGGCAGAGCACAGATAGCTCATTGTATAGCTTTGTGCTTAATTACAAACAAATCGTTAGGCAAGTCCGTCAGCACCTGTGTTTAAATTACTATTCGGTAATTTTCTAACATAATAAATTCCGGCCTAAACGTTACTCTAATGTGTTCGATACGTTGTTGATGACCACATTTCGTCTTTATAATAAATTTAACTCGGATTACGCTGCACTTGGGTTGTTTAAATATTCAGGTGTTTCGTGGTCCCAAATTTGTTTTTGAGCATTTCATTAGTGTGAAATCGACAACCATTACCGTAATTAAACCGCCAATTTTTCGTATCACTGTTATTAAAAAGTATCAAATACGTTTTTAGTTTTAAATAAATACATTCAGATTTTCTTATACTGTACCTAAAAATCATTAAGAAGTGAATGAGATCAAGTAGTATCTACTAAACAAATTAATTGTTATAAATTATGTAATTTATCAAGTATAGCAACTTTCATGTAAGGATGTGACACAAACGTTATGCCTGAAAAGTAAATTAATGTTCAAAAATACTCACCTACTGTAAGAATTAATAAATGATATCTCATATTTGTGGCTGGAAGAAAAAAAACAAAGAAATGACATAATTATAAAGTACAAACTGTCAGAGTAAATAATAATAACATAATTAGTAATATCTATATCATACTACTATATACCCCATTATAAATTCGTATTTTATCAATTAAAATGCCTTCCAGTGGCACAGCGATATGTCTGTGAACTTACAACGCTAGAAACCGGTGTTTGTGTGTGATATGTATGTATTTGTATATTGTTTAAAGTGAAGAATGTGATTAGTCGCCTAATTTTAATGGAAACGAAAGGTATAACGCGTGAGAAATAAATTTCGGACATGCATACTTATATAAATAGAAGAACATTGGATAATTTTGCAAAATCAACCGCATTGTTTAGGTTTATTTAGTCAAAATTAGCAGTGTGGCTGTATTCTCGGATTCATGATCTAAATGCAGCGTTACTGAAACATCAATTGGACCTTGGCATTTTCTAAATACAGGTTGTACACATTAGTTGATTTTTTAGAGGAAATAGTTTAGTTACAATATGCTCGCATTGCTGTTGATTCTGATTTAAATTCTTATTGAAATATTTAAACATTATATATAACTAGGAGTACAGAGGCGTTTTTAACACTTCAAACTACTCGGGACAGTTTTCTAAAGGGGCCGGTACGTACTGATCAGCTATAGGTAAAGAAATTTAAAAGTTTTTGTATTACTTTGGGGGCTATGTCAGAACCCAATTTTTAGCGTTATAAGCATTCAGGCTTACTGCCCAGCCACTAGAGGGCCAAAACACGACTTTGTCATAAATAATTTTAATAAATAGTTAATAGAAATTTCGTCCATAAGCATTTGACAATAACTCAAAAATGGATTGGGCCCGGTTAGGCTCATCGCCAGTTAGATATAAATGTAAAATATTCGCTCACCAAAATTAAGTATTATTTCAGATAAAGAAAAAATTGTCAACTTTCTTATGTACAATCTCGTAGTTAATATTTTCTATGTTGGATATTCATTGCTTAACATATAAATATTTCATATTTAAACACTGTATATATCGAGCTTATTCTTAGTTATAATTTAAAGTTAATTTTTGAGTTCCTGATTTTTAAACTTATAACGTTCCACACACTAATAAATTTGCTTGATATAAAAAATAAATCCAAGATATGTTTGTATTGTGTAACAAAAAAGTACTTCATTGGATACAGATCTAGTACTGAAATAGTGAATTTCAGAAACATTTGCAGTTTACAAGGTAAGGCTTGATTCTGTACCTTCGCCTAAATACTCCTATATCGTAGCGTTTTTTTTTTTGTTTGTTTTAGTTCCTGAGAATGGCCAATTCTGCAAATATTAGCTGCT